GAGCTACTTTCAATCCTTGCTCAGAACCAGAACTGACAATTTTAGAACATGTCTCTGAGAGTTCCCTTTCTGGACTAATATTAACAGTAGCAGTACAGTCTCAAGGTAGCAGATTTCAGAGCAGATTAGTTCAATTTTTAAAAAGGTTCAGAGAAAACTTGGCTTGCCCAGGCTGTCTAGTGAGCTTTTGAGACAAATCGAGTTATCTATTCCTGGTTCTCCTGAGACTCATTTCTTCTAATCAACTGACTACAATGCAGGTGATTAAATCTTCTGTGTTAATCTCTATTAACTCATTAATAGTTCTTTCAGAAGCTGATTTTAGGAGGGTGTGAGTAAATCTTCAGAATACATTGGTAACTGCCCCTTCATTTCCAGCATGTGATTTTACATGTTAGTTAAGACCTGAAAAGGAAGATTCTGTCAGATAAGATCCTGTCTTCAGTTGTCACTGCTCCTCCTAATAATGGAACTTCAAAGCTTTCATTGTGGGAAAGAAGGATCCAGCTGACAACAATTCTCTCAAAATCCTTCAGCTTTCATTTCTGGTTTCAGACTAGCATGCCTGAACTACAAAATCTACAATTTCAAGAGAAGGGACTTTTTTTTTTATAATTCTCTTTCTTTGTAATTGCTGCTGTAATATGCTGTTCCTGTTACAGTTGACTTGATAGATCAAGGTAGCCCGGACATTTTAGTGAGGCACAGAGTAATCTTTGATTGCTATAAGCAGTACCTGTAGTTGTACTTGGGCTAGATCTAATCCTCTGGCAATTATTAAGAGAATGAAAATAGACCTTAGCTTGGGGCAGAGAGGTTGAGAAAGGAGTAGGGAACTGTGTAATCCTGAATCATGAAAAGGGAGGTTATTTTCTTACTTGTAGAAAAAATATTTCTGTTACCCACAAAGTATAATATTGAATTGTTTGTACACTTAGCAGAAAGTAATTGTTTCAAATGATATATGAGAAACCATGGGGGTTTTTAAATTTTGTTCCTCTTAAGTTCACTATTGAAATGTTTCAAATAGACCCTTCTCTTTAGAAGACTGTAAGTCTTCTAAATTAAAAACCGAACGTCAGCACATGTAGCTTTGCTATAATGTAGTTGCTTTATGAAGTACCATAGCAAAATTCAGACTACATCCTGCCCACAATGTAATGTAGGGATGTATAGGTCTCAGGCCATCAGGAAGTTTGTGGTGGATCTTTCAGCACTGAGTCTCCTGCCTGAACTCCACAGCAAGGGTAGTATCATAAATATTTCAACAGAGACACCAAGAGGAAGCAGCATTTTATAATTCTCAGTGCTGTGTTTAACCAAAGCCAGTTTGAAGTTACAAATAAAATGTTTTTAAGAAATTTTTCTAAATAACTACCAAATCAGTTATTTTTCAGTGCTAAGCAGCCACCACCACCATCCATGGTTGTCTTTTAAGCCACTTTCTTTCTGTGGTTGTTTTCTTGCCCTTAGATAGTCCTACCTTCATTTTGAAGATGTCACAATAACTGCTTTCTCATTGCATCTTGCACAGTTGGATTTATGATAATAGTATTGACAGCAGTTGTAAGGATGTTTTTTAAGCCTTCCTTGAGTGAGCTCCCTGCTGCACAGCAGCTTTCAATAACATGCAGGACATAGTTGAATTATTCAGATAGGATTTCACATGCTTATTCAGTTCTGCCACGGAAGCAGTGACTGGCATGAAATCACCTTAGCAGTGGCTGCTATGACCAGGAATAAGGAGCTGAATAGGAAGTGTCACTCCAAGCTGAGTATCCTGTAACACCTCATAGAGAAAGAAGCATTTAGGGATTGACCCTAGAAGGCTGAAATTCATCAGTCTGTCCCTTCTTCCTTCCCTGTCCCTGTCTGGATTGACACTGGCATAGGGAAAGCTTCCTCCCCTCGGGAGGTGGTAGTTAAATTTGCATTGCGAGTCTCAATGAGTGCTTGCTCCATCTCTAAGGCAGTCAGCTGCAGCTCTCAGCCTGCCTAGTGCTGCAGTGGCATGTGGCTTGGGCTCAAAGGGAGCAGATGTTTGCTGTGTTGCCTTATGTTGATCACCTTTACAGATAACCAGCTTGATACCACTCGTCTTTCACAAAAGGAATTGTTCCTCTTTTTTGCAGCTGGTGGAAAGTAGGCTCTGCAGGTTTGATGTAATGTTGTTTGAAATACATATCTCTTCAACAGTCTTCGAGGCAGAACAGTAATTATTGATGTTTGTTTACTTAACGTAATAGTCGCGTACAAAGACTGCTTATTTCCTGGCTGAACTATTTGGGTTTTGGATAACTTTCTATGTTTACATTTTAACTACTGAGCTCATTTTTTTCCTATGGATGATGCAAAACGCTAACAATTTATTTCACACTCTACATGAAGAGGTTACAGCAATGCACCTGCCTCAGGTGGGTGGTTTATATATTTAATCAGCCAACATAAATTGCTTTGAATACAGCTCACTCTTGCTGGCAGCCAGCAGCAGGTGTAGATTAGATGCATATTTTGTCTCAGCTGTTCTGGTTTAAATTAAGATAACAAAAGATCAAATGTAAAGCAAGGAGCAACAGTAGTGTGATACAAGCTCAAAAGGCTTATGCATTCAAATCATCTGGGACCAGCTTCAATCACATGAACTGTAGCAGTGATGAAGTGTGTAGAGCTACCAGTTGCTACTGTTCTGTTTGAAGAAACCATTTCAGATCATAAAATAAATGGTTCTTTCTCATTACCTCTATATTACCTCTACCTGCTGAGTTTATAGAAAACTGTACCTTAGTACTTATCCCATACTCAACATTTGTAAGGTAAGCTATAAATAGGTTACTTAGCTTCTACAGCTTTCTCTATTCGCTGTGTTCAGAATTACTTGCTTTTCTCATTAAAAGAAAACCATGGAGTATTATTTTTTCTTCGATTATTATTGAAATGATAGGTTTTCTTACTTCTCCTGTCATGTCTGACTACAGTGAATCCCTCCTCTGTTTCTCTAACATAGCAAGGCTCCTACAAACCATGCTATCTCAGTAGGTACATGTTTATCCCTTATGTCTAGCCACAGTAATTTTGAAATTTGTGGGCTGTTTTCAATTCAACTTGACAGAGTAGGAGAGTTTGCAAAGGCAGTTTGATTCTCCTAAGACTGGGAAAATTAGGGATACAAGAAGATGGGGAAATAGGCAAGTGCTCTGAGGAGGAATTTGCAGCATGACTGACTTGCCACTCCCATGGCAGGGATACTCTGTAAGGGCCTTGCCTGGCAAAAGGCTGCTGCTGGAGCTGGATACCAACCATGAGATACCTGGACATCCTGATTTCTGTCATTCTGTTGATTTTTGCCACCCTGTTCACATGAGTCAGGAAAGAGTTGGAAAATCAGGCTGCCTGGTGGGTGTTCTTCATCTATCCAGTTAATATCTACACAGAGACAAACCTGACTCCAGGTTCCTGTGATTCCCCTTCCTCTCTGCCTGTTCCCCTCTCTCAGAGGAGCTCTATTCTCCCTAGCCTCGGGGAGCTCTGGTATTTGTGTGGCTTTGGGGTTTTTTTCCTCAAAAAACTTGCAATATTCAGAAACTAGTAATAAATACTGATATCATTGCACCAGAAGCAAAGGTCCTATGCGCTGAGACGTAATTCCACTCCCATGACCAGCACAGATGTACTTAATTTCTCTTTAGTATAACACTATTCTTTGGTTTACTCATTGCTAGGGTATTGCCTGTGTATAAGTGTTGTGTAGAAAAAGCAAGGAGATAAAATTTGTAGGGGGCAATATAAAGATATGTTGGAAAAGTCAGCAAAGAAGGGTCCAGGTTTACTTGTGTTAAAGTGCTGAAACAATATAGGAAGATAAATAGGGGAGGAAATTCACAGAGTAAATATTTTTCCCAGTTATTAATAAATGCAGATGAAGGTGTTCAATATCCAAATGCTGTGAAAGCCATTTGCTCATTGTCATGAGTGGCATGTATTTGATAACACAAAATAAGCATCTCATCCTCCACCTCTACTCATGCATGCACAACTCTTCCCATTTAATTCAGCAAGACTAATTATCTGAATTACTGACATTAGCTTGAAGCTATGGATTTGCAGATTGAGTATTGAGTCTCTGGCTTTCAGAACAACTTTTTTAAAGGAATTAGTCATGTCTAAGTACAACAGACCTGTCAAATTGCATCCCCTGGCATCGTCTGATGTTTTGGTTGCAAAGCCAGCCTTGTGTAAGACTGTCCTTGTGGTAATAGACAGTGGTTATCCTAACTTTATGGCTCTGACAACCCTAAAATGGCTCATAAGGGTTGGGCAGTTACCTCACTAGCTGATAGCAGATGGTAGCTGATAGCACTTCACTTTGCCTTCCACCTCACTGATGGACTTTGTCATCCCCACTCCAGGGATGTCTGCTGTCTATCTGCAAACCAGCTCCTGAACTACTCCCATTTTGGTTTAACTTGCCATGCAGGCAGGAAAACTGCAGTTAATGCACAGATAGATCACAAAACCCTGCCTTGGCAGCAACAACATCAATTAGAGAGATGGGAAGAAAAGAGCAGTATTTCAGGAACTGGTTCACAAGTGCTGTGGGCATCACTGCCTGCAGAGCTGCAACTTCTCTGGGACCAGCAAAATGCTCATCTGGAGCAGATGCATCCTTGGAGTTTTACTGCAGATCCACTTAAAAGGCAATGCTTAGCCTTACAGTCCTGCATTTTGCTATCAGTTGAAGAGTTTCAGTAACTCTGCCAGGTCTGTGCTGCTACTGAGCAAAACACTGGAATGTTTAGGGTCTGGAGCACTAGCTTATCCAAGGCTGAGCAGTGCAGAGAAGGCAGACAGCAGGGACAGGCCATTACTGTGTTTAACCAGTGAGGTCTTTAGTCTATACATCACTTGTCACCCCTTATCTTTGAATGAAATGTTCATAATTAAGTAGTGTGACTAAAGATGTGAAATACTACATGGCAAATACTGAACTTGCACCTCATTTATCTCTTTCAAATGTTTAATGAATTTTCAGCTTCAGCTAATGAATAATGGCAATTTCAGGCCCATTGTCCTACGCAGGGAAATTAATAATGGCCTAAGGATAGTTTCATACCTAGGAGCATGGTAGAGATTGCCAAAAAGCCAGAATGTGGATTTCTTTCTAGAAGACCCAACATTACCTTCCAATTTGTTCCAGTTGGTGTACAGAACATATTCCTAAAGAATCCTGAAAGCACAACATGCAGAATCTGCTCTTTGGGGATAAAAAGCAAGCAAAAATTGCCTTCTTTCACCTCCCCTGCCATTTTGTTTACCTCAACAGCTCATCTTTATTCATGCAAAAATTTTGGCCGAGTTTGAAAAAGCTTTTATTTATTAGCATTATATTAATAACATACAAAAGAAACATGGAAGCCTAATCCTCTCTTCAAAGATGTTCTGAAATAAGGTACATTAATGAATAGGAACCAGGAAACCTCCAAGCTCAAGAATGTGGCATAAAGAACATTTGTCACCACCATTTGCTTCTTAGGAAAGGAGCCATGAATGTTTCCACCATTTCCTATCTCTGTGGAGTAAGAAAAAACAATTCACAGTAGTAGCTGTGGGTTCAGTTGGTTTGGGCATTGAAAACCAAGTACAGAATATTAAATGAGGAAGGAGAAACGTTGACATGAATGGATGTGTACTACAAAACTTACTACTGATACTTGAAAAAAGGGAAATGCCCTTGAACTACAGAAGTACATCTGAAGCAAATGTGCTCTCTTTCTCTCACCCATCCAAAGTGACTGACTTTCATTTCTCATTCGCCTCCCAAACATGTAGCTAAAGGAAAATACTGAGAAATAAAAACGTAGTTTTCAGTCACAGAAGCAGGAATGTACATCTTCAAACAATTGTTTAGTCAAAAGAATGTTTTATCTGAAAATACTAGGCATTTTCAAACCCAACCTGCTAAAAGTTCATGGTTGGTTTTCTTCAATTTCTTATTCAATTTACCATGACCTACATCTCAGTTCTACTTATGAATATAAAATATGCAGTATTTATGCAGAGAATTAGTCTATTAATTTTGGGTTTAGACCCAAATGGGATGAGATAAAGTCATCTTATCAAATACATAATGGTAAATACATAACATGCCATATCCTAAAATGGCCAGATACAAGATGTGTAGGATTTAATAGCTTTTTGGTGGAGGTGAGTCCCAGACTTCTGTAGTAGCTCCATATAGGATCTGATGTTGTTGCTAGAAAAGATGGAATAAATTACTTTTAGAAAAAATTTTAAAATCACAGAATTAATCTAAAGATCCTGTCCACATCTGCAGTGTTCAGATTTGCCAGCTTTTGCAAAAGTTTTCTTCTGGAAGTACAGGCCCTGAACTAGATTCCTGCATAGGTTGTATAGGCTTCCCATTTCAGAACTATCACTAATCAGGAAAAATAAGGTTTAAAAGAATTGTTCTACTTTATCCATAATGGTTTTTGTAACTTCTAGCTTGATGCTTCTTTGCTACTATATGGCTTCTCAAAAACTCTGGATGTCAATTCTTGTCACATTAGCATTGGGAAGTTTATTTCAGTCTGTGAGTTAACTAGCCTTGCTTTGAAATCATAAACATATTTCAGTGGGAGTGCCTGTAAATGTGTTTATGTAAGTGGCTTTAATCCTGTCATATGACAATCATTAGAATTATCTTTCTGGAGGCATAACTCATCCTGGAGTCTGCCTGGCAGCTGCTACATTCACAGCCATCAGGCACATGGATGCACAACCAGTAATTAGACACAGTCAGGGCTTTTCTCTGTGAGGAATTTTTCTGATTGGAAAGACAGTGGGGTTTTTTCCAGAAAACTGCGTAAAGTGTCTTCAGGTAAATTTATCATAAGGCAGAAATGACTGCTGCTATCCACTCATATCAGTATTAGAAATTGTGAGTGAATAACCTGGTGCTTCCTTCCAGTTGCCCAAAGGCACCAGCTGAAGCCTCAGCAGGAGAGAAGGTAAATTATGGCTTTTAGCTATTCTCTCCTATTTGGCTTCTGCTCAGAGGAGTGAAACTCGTGTCACCTTTCAGGTGGAACAGTCTTGGAAAGCTCACTCTAAGACTCCCCAAGTCAAATTCTTATCTTATAAAAAATAAAATGCAGCTCTTTTCAAAAGCTGCTTTTCAAAATGAAACTAATTTTCAAAAAGAAAGGTACTTTTAAGTCAATAAAATTCAAAGCATATTCAATTCAAATTATATTAGGAGAAGAAGTTTACCCATTTTCCTATAGGTGGTTTCAGTCAGACTGACAGATTGCTATCTTAGTAACTATTTTAAGCACTGAAACTGTATGAGTTTATTCCTACCCACTCTTGTCCATCTTTAAGGACTGCAGTATCTTCACAGGAAGAGTGTTCCACAGGAATAAGGTGTGTATTGTGCTTGTCAAACTGAATCACTTAGTAATTGTTCCCTAAATCTGACAAAATTTTGTCCCCAAAATGTCCAGTTTTAGCACAGTCCTTAACAATTTCTCTGAGACAGTTTGCAAGGCTTCATTTCATGTACTCCTGTGCCAATCTATAAATACTGCTTTTACCAACTGGTATGTCTCATTCTCTGTTTTGTTCTGCTGAGCTTTTATTCCACACTGAATACAGTTTTGTTGCTGAAATAAATGGAGTTTTTTACCTCTTATTTTTCTCCTCAGGAATTGCTTTCTGTCTGCTTTTTAAATCAACTCTATAGGAAGCAGTTTAGCTTCTGTGGACTTTTAAAAGGATATGTATTCTTTAAGCTCTTAATGAGCTTTTCCAAACAATACCTAGAAAAGAACCCACCTCAATAAAATGACCGCATATATATAACTATTAAACTTGGGCAGTAGAAACAAATCTTCTTTAATTTTTCAAGACATAATTGGGTTTTCACTGTGTCAGGTTATGACACTATAAACCAGCTGTCAGCGGTGTTGCATGGGTCAATTGTACTTACTGAGGTACACGCAGGCTCCAAGTCTACAAAATGCTCTGTTGAGAAGCCCCATCGAACACGGCTAGCGAGGGATCGAAGGCAAAAGGCTCCAAGCCCATGTAGTATTGTGCTGTTTCTCTCAAAGCTGCCAGTGACTCACTAATCTGAAGTAGAGCAAAACAGAAGGGAATATTCTGAGCTTTGGTACTGAATAAATACAGCCTGTGACTACAGAGCAGCCTTGCCCTTGTTGATAAATCAGAAGAATTTCCTCCCTTGACCCAAAGGATTTATGTTGCATGTTAATTCCAGACCTCTGCTTTCTTTTCCTCAGTAGGTGCTGCAAGAGGAAGGAAGAAGGTACCTGTTCAGCCACAGTGTATCCCCACGTGTTCTGGCTGCTGCTTGAGTCCCAGTAGCTTGGAGAGTATGGGATGTGTCGTTTCAGCCATATGAATTGATTTGGTGATTCTTCTGTCCGAAAGGGAGCTCCGAGGACACTTGAAACAGAAGCTGATAAATATTGGTAATATCAGAAAAATATGCTAGGATGGGCACTTCAAAAATATGTTTATATCCACAGAATTCAATGGTTTTGAATCAGTAGTTTATTTAATAAAAATCAAAGGTGGCCCTACTTTAGATTAGCAGAAAGAAACTGATTTTAGGCTTGAAATTAATAAAACAAATGCTCTGAATCATTATTTTGCTGTTGAATCTGAAGTAAATAAAGTTAAAATTTAATTAAGCCACTAATTTATTTTAATGCAACATTTTGTTATGAAAGTCCTATTAGACTGTAATTGCACTAGTCTCAGGTGTGCTGAGAGCCTAAAGTTTTTTAAAAAAACACAAACCCTACCTATGAATTTATCTATGGTTCTGAACCTCCTGGCTTATATATGATATTTACTCTCATTAGTATCAGCATAGAAATTGCATGCTTGGAAATTACTTTCTGAACAGAAGATATTACACTTCTAATCTTGTTATTGCATTGCTTCAGATAGCTTCTGAGGTCACCACAGATGTGGAAGAGTCCTTGCAGATCTTGAAAAAAGTATTCTTCACAAGAAAAAGTTCAGAATTCCCCTTTAGCTTCATATGAAAGACCCTTGTATAGAAAAAAAATATTTTCTTTTTAGTCTCAAGTGTTTGAGACATACATTTATTTTGAGACATAAATTAATTTGGGGCTAAACGAGTCCAAAATAGAATGTCAGTCTAAATCACACAATTTTTAATGAACCACTGAGTAAGATTAAGCTCAGATCCATCAGCTGAGCTGAGGACAGTGACTGTAAACAGCTGTGCTCTAATTTAATGAAGTGGGTTTAAATGGACACCTGAGGGTCACCTGCACATGCTTGGAACAGTTGGGCCAAGAACTTGAACCCTTCTCTATTATGTCTTAGACTAGGAGCTCAGCAGGGCAAGCTATCACCTCACTCACAGCTCTCCAATGCCCTGATTCCTGAATTTCTAGGGGGGAAATCTAAATGGGAGTATGAAATGTTTGCTTTCATGTGCGATGTTCAGCTGAATCCAGTTCATATGTAATTATTGCTGGCTTTTTTGATTATCCACAATATAATTGCTTTTTAGTTTTTTTAAATAGAAGAAAATGTTTGTTGAATGCATATAGGTAGAAGATATGTGATCTTGTGTGTTTGCTGCTCCCTTTCACTTTGTTTTTCAGTGCCAAAATGCTTAAAAAGAAAATGAGAAAAATTTTGGTTATACAGTAATGAACAAAAAATAAAGTGAGGGTGGTTGTCATCTTTACTCTTGATATAGATGTCAAAGAATACTTTAGAAAAGTTACTTAGCAAGCAATCACAGTCCCAGCAGCTCCTTCCTACTTCAGTCTCTTCATATTCCAAGTTATTATAATCATAAACTGGAGGTACAAGTTTTAGGGTAGGGAGCTTTCAAGGAATACCATCTTCAAAACTGTTACCAGCTCCATGGAAGAAAGTAATTTCAGACATTTGGTGGAAGGCTGGGAAAGAAGAAAATGTATTTCATGCATATGTCTATTAAGCTGCTATACTTGTATTCTAGAGCTGCACAAGAGAAAACTAAGCTTGTGCCAAATTTCAATTTTTCTCTGGCAATTTACTATTTTCCAATAGAAAACTATATGAGCTGTTAATTTCTCTTTAGTGAATTTGGGGTGGGTTTTTTAATATATTAAATATTTTTTAAGCTCATGATTACATTTCTGGACTGAGATAATTGAACGGAGATCAGAAATTGACTCATTAAAAGGCTTCTGTTTTCTTTAAATGTACATAGTTACTAAGGGCCATTAAACATCACATTTTATCACCAATATGTGCACTGGCCCTCCAGATTCAAAATAAGCTGCAAAAGAAAAGAAGATCATTAAGCAGCTCTGCTTCTTGTGGTTTGTTTTTTGTTTTGTTTTTTTTGTGGGTTTGTTTTGTTTTGTTTTGTTTTTTTGTTGTTGTTGTTATTGTTGATTTTACTGCCAGTGTCTTCAAAAATGAGGTTGTCATTCCACTGGTGGGACAGTGAGATGTTATCTTGGCTACTGTGGTGCAGAGAACTGCATCTTTAGGGTATTATATGTCAATTTTTAATACACAGCCTGCTCTGGCTGCATCTGTATCCAAGGAGAAATGCCACCCCTAACTATGCTAAGTATTCACTTTGATTGAAGTGCACTTGCCTGCTCTGAGGAGAGTCAGGTGTGCCAGTTCTGCTCTTGGCTTTTCTTGCCACTGCTGGCACCCGGTTCTTATTCTTTTCTAGCTGCTATTTCATCTCCTGGGAGCTGTTTTGCAGGACTTGTCCCCAGCTGCTGGGGCACTCCAAAGATGCATAAGTACCAAAAGAAAATCAGGTAAGTGCCTTTATATATCACCTAATCCTTCAGGCTTATCTCATTCTCTCCTTATCTTGCTGTAAAGATCACTATAAGTCTTTGAACATGGCAAACTTCATTCACCTCTGGAAAACCTCCAGTGAGATAATTTCTAGCATAACCAGAATTAGCCCTGTTGGTCTTTCAGTGTGACTGCACAGACAAACGTGGTTGCACATTTGCTTGTGCTCTGGCAGAGCTCAGAGTAAGCAAGGTCTTCACTTATCTCTAATGTAGACCTAGGGTCATCAGACCAGCTGTCTCCATCTGAGTAGCCCCTCTGAATACAGTGTAGGGATTTCATCAAATGAATTATGTCTTGCATCATTTTAAGTTTCTTGCACTGGATGTAAATTTTCCCCCTCCTTTTGAACAGTTTAGCAAAATATTGTGGAAGGGTTTGCTTTATAAAAACAGTATTCCTGAAGGAGCACATCTTGTAGAAGATTAGCATACAAATCAGGAGACTGGAATTTCAGAGCATCTGATGTGAGACTAGAGGGAGTTAGGAACAGGTGGGTAATGTTAATAAAATGGTTCGTAGTGCATAAAGTTGAGCTGCAAAAAGATGAAGAATTTCAAGTTGTACTGAAACAGTTAACTCACCATGAAGAACAACCAGACATGTTGTATGGGGTTTTTATTCTATTCTATTGTTCTCCTCTCTTAGATATGTGATTTGAAAAGCACTTTTAGACACAAATGTCCCAGTGGGAAAATAGGAGGAATGTGTGTGAAGGGTGAACTATTGCTGAGGTTGTATCAGCTGTTACCAGTTAGTGTTTCCTTTCATCGTCTCTTGAAGATTCACTAAATGTTCTCACATGAAAAGCAAATTATAGAAAAAATTGACTGGTTTTAGCAAGCAGATGCTTAGCTCATGTAATTATTGCCTTCAGCAGATAGTTTTGTCTATCCTGTGCACCTAAAGACATTGTCCAGAGGGAAAACTGTTAGTAGTCATTATTGCTACCATGCCTTCTGAGCATCTAATTTTGGATTACTATGATCTAAGACTAAACTTGAGGAGAGATGGTGGTGCAACCTTGTCATCTTTCTCAAAAAAGCAAATGTGCACTTAATCCAGCATTGAGTATATAAAAAAAACCCAAACCAATGACAAAACTCTGATTATGAAATGGCATATCAAATATCTTGGAATGTCAAAGTAATAACAAAAAATATCACAGTATAGCAAGCAAACTGCGCTCAAAATAGAAAATCAACCTGGATACATCTTAAATTACTGTGCTTTAAAATTTCTTCATTCTAGACTTTAATGGAAGCATATCTATCTTTACAAGGAAAGATTTCTAGAAAGCAACATATTCAGCTGGGTGCAGCCACAAAAATTTTCCCAGGAAGACATCTTTTTCTATCAGCTGAATGTGCAATGATCTACTTCATAACACAATCAAAAAGATGAGTATAGGATTCAGTTTTTACACATTTGCCTGCTAAGGGACCTATTTAATTGATATACATTTTCTTCTGTAAAAGTTAAGTAGCAAGAGCAATTGTATGCTTAGTAGTCTGGGGAGAGCAGGCAGGCCACCATTTGTACATCTAATGGCAGAGTTTAATGATAAGAAGACAAATCTTCAAACTTGCCTAAGTATAGGATATGTTTCTTCTTCCACTCGCTACCCCAAAGCCTGTTTTTAATCCAGATCAGCAGTATTGTATAAGTGGTAAGGAGCAATCTCTAGGCTTAGGACCAAAATTTATCCCTGATGTGCATCTATCACAGGGAAATGTGGTTTATCTCTGATTTGTTGTGATATTTACAAAATAACCTGTCAATTATTTATCAACACTTCAAACACTCTCTGTGCACACTATTGTTTCTCCCTAGTTTCTGAAGACTTGCAAGTTTCTGACAACCTGAAAACATATTGCTTAAGTTAATATCAATGGAATTTAAATGTCAAAAGCTGGCAATTGCTCCAGCTCCGTTCCTTTAGGTCTAATAATTCTTCTTATTATCAGCTACGGTGACTTTCTGGTCAAAATCTCAGCTCATGGCTGCCAGTCTTATCAGCTCTTTAGAACAGATCTTGGACACAGGCTAAACTTGGACAGAGCTAAACTTCAACCTTGCTGAGGTGGCAGGTGCTGACGTGTTGGGAACTTTGAAAAAGTAAATCAAGTCTGCAGCTCAGGTGTGTTTCCTAAGGCTAGAAATGAGCCAGAATGGACCACCTCCACGCCATGTTTCAGCTATCTGACTTTCTAAATCTAAATTCACAAAGTCAAGCCACAGGACTCGGTCTGAGGACTCAGAATACCACAGTGTAACAGCTGAAAAAAATGTGGAAGCAGCTGCTTCTCTCCTCACTCAAGTATTTCTCTAGATTATGTGGCATTCCATGGAAATTAAGATGTGATTATCTGTCAGTACACTGCATAAATGGCTGGACTGCAGCAAGGATAGACTTGTGGATTCTGCAGACCACCTCTGGTCCAGATATCACCATTTTTCAGTTAAAAATGCAATCATACTAAAATCTAACACTGCGCTTTTTTTTTTTTCAAAGTATTAAAACATGTTTTTATGTACATAGGCTTTGTACTGTTTGGATGGCAACAAGCCTTAGAATAGAATTAAATCAGTAAAATGTGCTAATACCTGTTGACAGCAAGATTTAAAGTCACCACTTGTTAAGTGCTTCAACTCCTTCCATATCACTAAGTCTTTGAAATGTTGGCATCATCTGTTTCTTTTTCAAGCTTGAAGCAAAATAGATTTTATTTTTTTACAATTTTTAATTTTATATCAGAGGACACAAGAGCTCTCTGGTTCAAGAGATGTGATTAAAAATCCTTAGAGCTACAACATCAGCCTCATTACCTCATTACAAAGACAGAGAAGTTACAGATACTTAATGCAGAATTAGCTATTGAACATATTCAATATGTGTGATGATGCCAGGGGTCAGGACAGTTTACAGGTATGGGTAAATAACAAGGCAATTTGGCAAAAATCCTAGATAATCCTAGGGAAGGAGCTACTTCTACTGCAGCAAAGTATTAGAAAAAGCCCCAGTCCGTTGGTCCACTCAGAAATCTCAGTGTTGCGATTTCCTTTCTACATCCATATGTGGCAAAACACCCCCATCAGACACCTGAGAGAGTTCAGCATTTATCTCAGTGCAGACATCACACTCCTACCCCATCCTTTGCTGCTGCACTCTCCAGAGGCTAAAGCAAAATGTCCAGAGAGCCTATTCACAGCTCTGTGGCTGTGGTTTACTATGAGGAGTGATTTAAAGCAGCTGAATTGAGGGCATGGAGAAGAATAAGGTTCTCATGAGAATCTTCTAGTCTCTGTTTTACTTCACCATCACCTTCATTGTTGCTGGAAGGATTCATAGTTAATGAAAAACTGAGCTGATTGTGATCATTTAAACTTTTAAGACCTCATTAAAAACTAGTAATAAGTAGTTCTTCATGTACTTTGAAGAATAGAAACCTGGGAAAGAGGGTAAACAAGATGAGAAACACAAAAGAGATGAAAGTAAAGTCTTCCAAAAGGAGGGGCTGCAAGCTGCTGTGCTCCCAGCTTGGCTTCCGGTGACATTGTGTTATAAATGGCCTTTAGTGGAAAGGAGGTGAAGTTCAAGAAGATAGGAAAGTACCCAGGAATTGTCCCAGTTCAACTGCAGATCAGGAAGGACAAATAAGGGGAAAAGGTTTATAGGTGAGCTCAAACTGGCAGAAGAGGCAAAGTCCCTTTCCATCTCCGTATTTTCCTAAAGACCCTCACTGCAGCCAAAACTCGGGTTCATATGGCATGGAAGTGAATTCAACCCTTGAGAGAGATTTTCCCTGACTGTAGTCCCAATTTACAAAATCTTTTTCAATAACCCACAATTAATAATTGTCTCTCTCATTCTGCCTCAGCTATTCACATCATAGATTTACTGCATGTGTATTGGAGCAGTCAAATCTAAGAAATGCTTTTAATGCATGCATGTGGATAGACCATCTTGTCAAGATGCAGGCAATCACTTGGGAAGTCTTGCCTGCCTGGTTTGTTTTAATTTTGTGAGAAACAAATTAATCTTGCAGCATGTGCATCACTGATCATTCACTGTACCAGCGTGTGCTGGTTTGGGAAGAGTATGTGGTAGCCCTGACCCATCTATTTTCCCTCTGGTACAAGTTTTACAGGTTGAATCTTGATTGCAGATGCTGTGCTTACATAGTTCTGTGAATGATCAGCATTCAGACAGCCTGAGTGCTTTAAAACTATCAGTCTCCTTAAGAAATTCAAGTTAGGCATTCAAAAAAATCACTTGTGAAATAGATTCTTTTGGGTCCTTATAAATGCATGTGAAATTGTTTCCTACAAACAGTAAATGTTGAGATAAGAATAATATTTAGAGATTTCACAGAAACAGCATCAAGCTCTTTTTACAATTTTAACAGTTCAGGAAATCATCCTGTAAGAATGCCTTTCAGTCAGAAATGCATCTTTCCTTCTTATACATGAGCAGAAAAAGGCTCAAAAGTAGTCACAAGGAGCAGAATCAAACTGTATTTCACAGGATTTGCCATGCAATCTTGTGCTCACCCACTCTCCTGTGTGTCCCTGCTGCAGTGATTTCCAGTTAATTTTCTTCCATTGATGCTTTTCTGGTGGTAAAACAGCGTTTTTTGCCAGCTGACTGTTCAACAAGCCTAAAGGGACATGAGATAGGATACCAGGCACTTACCTGTAAACAGCAGAGCAGACACCAAAATTTGAAACATTTTCAGAGACATGGTAAATTATTCAGAAAGGGTTTCCCTTGTAAAGTGAAGAGAGTGATACAGTTTTATACATTGCTATCTTCAGGTTTATAAATCATTTACCAGATACGTGTAAAGGATTGGTTCAGACAGAGGGCAGGGTACAATGCTTAGTTCAGATTTGTCCTGTATGGCTCTGTTTGTACACTTTGGACTTTGCAAGCTAAACCTCTAATGAGCCATCATGGCTCATCATTGTGTGGATGCATTTATTTCTTCTTAAGTTCTGTGATGCAAAACAGTAAACCTCAGTTAATCAGTGTTTTGCATGACTATTTGCCTCTCATCCTGGTGGCAGCCACAAGCAGTTTATAGTTGAATTGTGCAAATACAAATGGTGTTTGAATCCACCTGCTCTGAGAGCAGTGCCAGACTATGCCATATATTTCAGCTGCATACTGCTTGAGTTAAGGAAATAAAAGTATGATAAAATTGAGTGAAAAAGCACTAAGCAGGGAAGGAGGGAAGAAACTTGGATTCTGACCTGAACCAGGGTGACTTGTTGGTGTTAGGACTCTGTAATGTGGGACAGTATGAGTTCATGCTGCCTTACCTTTCCCACCTGCCCAGTTAGCTGTTGCCTTTTTGCCTACAACTCACCTGTTGGCAGCAGCAGTTGCAGTGCAGAGCAGTTTATCTCCATAAGCTCACCTACAGGGAGGATAAGGGAGCGCAGGAAAGCTGATCTCTGTCACACGTTGGCGCTTTGATCCGCAGTCCATGGGCACAGGCGTGCCTGCACTCCCAGCTCTTTGCGTCAGGCAGTCGGAGCCTGCTGACGTTACAGGTCAGGGACCAGACTCTGTGCTGATGGGCAGCACTACTTCATCCTCACACTCACAGAGACAGCCAGCCAGTCTAGAGAGTGCATTCAGTAAAGATTTGTTGGGAAGCAAAAGAGAATTTGGTTATGTAGCTACAAAACCTAATAGGTTTTCATTACACACGGGTGGGTAGGATGGGACACTATTGAACAGCAGATCTAACAGTGTAATTCTTAACTTTCCTATAGGTCATGTCACAAATTTAGTATTATTTGAGTATTGTTCTTAAAAAAATTATCAATCCATCCACCCCAGGTAGCAAATTAAGTATGGAGGCAGGTGTTCTGCATTCTGGTGCCATATTAGCAACAAATATTAATTATCCAAACTTATGATCAGTTTCCCCACCTCTGAGCTACTATTTTAAATGTTAGATGTCAGCTTTTTTGTAGACTAGGGAAAAAGGTATAATGGCTGGGATATTTTGTAATGGGTGACACAGAGCTCTCCAGAACAGTAGATCCCCCAGAAATAAATTCCTGGAAAGCATACACGTTTTCCTTTCACCTCACAAACTTCGTGGGCCGTTGCCTCTAACCATTTCCACACTTTTCTCTTAAATGGCCTGGCCTTTCTATTGCAGCTTTCCTCCCATAGGTTTTTCCTCACAGTTCCTGATACAATGACTGGAAGAACATATTAGTGTGTCATTTTATATTTATTGCAGTTATGTCTTCTTTAAGGTGTAGCCTGCTCACAGAGACCACTGCTAGTGATATGGCACAGGTGGAGAGACAAGAGCAGCCAGCAGTAGATCACAGGGAGGCATGCTGGACTGGCAACAAAGACCCAAGTCACCTACTCCTCCTATTTCATCTTAGGAAGCAAGAGGAAGAGATGAGAATATTTTTCAGGAGCAGGAGTTAAAAAAGTGGTGAACAAGTTAGAGGCCATAAATCCCAACTGATCCTGAGTAACCTAAGTCCAGGCTCCCAGAACCTAAAGACAGCCTTGCTCCCATGATTTCCAAATAAAACCTGGAGAATATGACTTGTCTATATCCTTTACTGACGAAGCCTTGCGTCTGTTATAAGCAAAGTCCTCTCTGAGAGGCACAGAATATCTTCTGGTAGGGTCACAAAACCTGGTGGGGATGTTGCAATGCCTGGATTTGGCTGTGAGTTCAGAACACGAGGCTTTCTCTGCTGTAGAGTGGAACAGTGGTCAGCCAGATTAGGCTATGATACAAGATCTGGGAAGCAGCTAAATTACAGATAGCATGTCCCCTAGGGCATAGAGATCCATGACATCTGAACACTCCTCCAGTTTTCCTTTTTTTCCATCCTCTATTCTGCCATATTTCTTTGAATCAGGCCTTGTTCTTGGCCCATGCTCTGTCTTGTGTAGGCTTCCCAGCTCTGCGTTCTTCCCCTAAGACACATCTTCCCTCTTGTGTGCTTTGCAATTTCACATAAAATGACGTTATGCCCATAAAACCTAACATCTTCAGATTGAAGAATTTATAAGTCTGTTATGAGGAGAGTGGCTTTCCCTTTCCTCCTTCCTTTGGTGTCTTGTTTCCCATATCCACAAGGGGTGTTCAGCTCTGAGATTCACTCCCTCCCTGCCTCCTACCCCAGTCCTGCTGTTGCCAAGTCTCACTTCTGCTCACAATAGCCAATGTTTTTCCTGAAGCCCTGTAATGTATACGTAATTTGAGGCTTGCATATGCCCTACTGGCTCACATACAAAAAATTTCAGAAGACATATGAGTTCTTAGTAGTTCTTTGAGGGCATTATATAGGCAATCTGGATATCACTAAAAACCCATGAAAAGCATGAATTTATTTATTGAGAGTAAAATTTTAGCTGTTAATCACTAACAGATATGCAGGCTGCAATTTTTTGGAAGGTTTGTAACTTGGCCCAATGGCTCGAATTTTCATATGGAGGAATGAATCATTGTATCATTCTTTTATGATGCCCTCCCTCTCCTATCAGATTTCTATTCCCTACTTTAAGACATGGAAAGCTAAGTCAAAGGAGCTGTCATCAGAATATTCAGTGCAAACTAAACTTCCCCACATACATCCTTATCTCATTTGCAGAAATTATCAAGATATTGGCTAAAGTGGTTCAAAAAATTTCAGCTTGATGCAGATAACTGACATAGTAGAAAAAAAAATTAAAAAAACTCAGACCAAATTATAAAAGTTTAACGAGTTATAGATGAGTGAAAGTAGGATTATTTGAAGGGAAAAGAGTAAAACCCCAAAACTTAGCTGATTATAAATGAAACCGTTTTAGCAAGAGAAGGATAAAAAGAGGTTGGATTCATCTTATAAACATCCTGAGGAAGCTGATGGTGACTGGCTATATAATGAGGTCTCCAGCTCCTTGAATTTTTTTTTTTTTATATATTTTTCATAGGTGGAGTAGTAGTAAAATATTTGAGAGGATAGCTGAATATCCTAAGATTACTTGTTGCTTCAAGTTGATTGTAGAAAGTTACTGGGAAGGAGAAAGCAGTGGGTTAGTTGGGTTGGGAGCAAAAAGTTGAACAACTTGAGCTGGAAAATCCATATTCTTTCTCTTCTTAGGCACCAGCTTCTCATCTGCCTAGGAAGCTTAATTCTTTTAGTTCAATTTCACAAGCTAAGTATAATGCTAATCTATAAGATTTTGTAAACCACTATGTAACTCTTGAAAAATGTAATCTTCTGATGTATTTCATATTAAAATCCTCATTTGTTTTAGCTTGTCTAACACCTACCAGTTCTCTTTGTTCATTTCAAAGACATCTTTAAGTAGATATGCCAACACCAGCATTTAACTTCAGGTTTTGTGTATCTGAGAATGCCTGTTGTATTGCTGTGGTATCTTTTTGGAGTAGAGATTAAACAAGTGCTAGGTATTATTTAAAAGAACGTGAAACATATGGAAAAACCTCTCTCAAGAAAAAGGATTAGGGAGAGGAAGAAGAAAATCATGACCATTGCTGTTGTGACATCATGACCTGTACAACCACCATGTTGTAGCTCAGGACTTGAAACCAGAGGCAGTAGCTTATTGTTTAGTGTTTCTTGACTGATTCTCAACACCTTAATTTTGTAACCACTTCTAATATCCAAAGATGAACTAGGTGCACCACTGAACCCTGCCCCTGGACCATTATTTGGCAAGATTTCTTCCGTTAGTTTTGTCTCATGGGAAGAGGCTGGCATAATTCTACATCCTATTTCTTGCTTGGTGGAAGGGCAGGAAGGCTGCAGTTTGACCTGTTTTCAGTGTGGGTGCTGCTGAAGTTCAGTAGAAAAGATGATCCTCGGCAGGAGTTTTGAGAATGCACTCAGTGATTCTCAGCATTTGAGGTCAGTCACTGATTCCAGTGAATGTTTTCTGTATTCTATCCTCTAAGAAGTGCAAGTCCTGAAAGACACTTGCAATCAGCCTGGCACTGAAGGCATGAATCCACACATGAACTTGGGACAGCACTCTGGTTGCAGCCACAGCAAGTAGTGCAGGAGAGAATCCCTCTCCAGAGTAATTTCTGGTGACTGACCTGCCTTTAGAAAATATTCCCCCCTTACAGAAATTCATTATCTCCTATTCCTCCAAGATTATGGTGTAAAGGCAGTTTGTACAAATCTGTGTGTCTTGGAATTAAGCTAAGACTCAAAAGGAGGTCTAACGTGAGCAAGTTAACAGATCTTTTATTAACAACTACTTCAAATATCTGTCATGTTTTGAAGTAAGCCTACTGGCACACGGTGGGATATTTAGCACAGCAGGACTGTGCACTTTACACCTTCTACTTGGAGGTGTGCTTTAGTTCAGTTTTTTCTTCCAACCAGCTACATCTCTTGATAAGCCCATGTCTGACTGTGCTGAACAGCACGACCAGTCCCATCCTACTGCTCTTGTGCTCGAGCACTTTTGTTTCAATTACCTTTACAACTCCCAAGGGCACAAGTAACTCTGTCTTCATGGTTGGAGAAGCCATGAATGCTTTATCTTGACTTGTCTTCCCAGAATTGTGCTGTGTAAAACTCTTACCTTTCAATGGCACACACTCCTCAATTTACCAGCTCCAGGAGCAGATTGTGCCCCGGTATTTGTGCAGCACGGCCGTGTCTGAGGCAGAATCCCCACAATGGGCTGCACTTCCTCTGGGTTTCTGGGTGTAGACAATAGTTCACAGCCCTGTTCTTTCCATGGCCACAGGCATTTCAAGCCCCCTGCAGGTATATAACCCA